GCGCAGATGCATGCGTCATAACTTGATAACTTGACAGATATAGGCACCCAACCCTAGCTGAATGCGAGAAGCACACAGTACGAGGTTGTCGGCCACTAGTACGGATGGCGTGAGCTCGAGAGCTTGCCATACGTGCAACAGACATGACGTGTATCTTGACTGCACTTTGGCGTCGAATGCATCCTCGCTCACATCACCTTCAAAAAATATACTAGTACTCAGTATATCCCTTTGGAATCCTTCGACAACTCTGCAGTCGACGGCACCACCGTCAAGGTGACGTACCTGTCCTGTTCGCCACGCAAGAGACGCCTCGATGGGAGGTCGGACACTCAACACATTTGTCATATGAACAAAAGACGAGAATGAAATCCTTAGATCCATCCGCGGTAGAAGCGAAGGTACGAGATCATGCTGATGCAAATGCACACAAAGACAAACCACCAGACGTAGTATCCGTTCTGCGTGTGGAGCTCGGGCATGTTGTCAAAGTTCATGCCGTAGAGACCCGTCATGAACGTGCCGGGCAGGAAGAGCGCTGCGACCACCGAAATGGTGTACGACACATCCGCCTGTGCTTTAGCGCGCGTGTACTGGTCGTCCGTAAGGATCGTGCCGAGCGCGACTTGGTATTCCTTGACGTCGCTCGCCATTTGCTTGAGATGGTCTTTCACGTCGCGCACGTAATTGCGGACTTCGCCCTAATTGATAATTGAGAAACAAATCATAAAAAATCCATGAAAATCATCAAAAATACCGTTTGAAACTCGGGCTGGTCGCTCATTGGGCCGTCGACAAGGTCCAAGAACGGGCGAATGAGCTTGTCCAGTGCAAGAAGCTGCTTCTTGGCGTGCGACACGAGCTTCGTGTCGAACTTCGTGCCCTCGAGCCCTTGCAGGGCCTCCAGGACAGCGACTTTGACTTCAAACACTTGGATGAGTGGCCGCATTTCGTCGACGATGGCGTTCAAAATCGAAATCACAAGAAAGTGCGCGTTGTGGTTGCGCAGCTTCGAGTATGACTTGCCCATGTTGTCGTCGTAGATCGCGCTCCAGAGCTGGAACGCAGCGTCGTCCATGTCGGCGTCCTCCTGGACGCTCAGCACGTTCTCATCGCGCGCCATGAAGATGCAGAGCTGCTGCGGCTTGCGCATGAGGCAGCGGAGGTTCTTGAGCATGCCGTGGAGCGTCTCGGGCGTCTGTGACGCGTAGTCATCATCGTCCGCATACTCTTCGTTGCCATCGGCTAGCGCTTGGTCGCGTTCAAAGAGCAAGTTGCGGTGCTTTTGAATGTAATTTTGGATGAGACACGCCTTGGCGTCGTCGACGGGGCGCGTCACCGGCACCACCTACGCGGCTTTTTGTTTGAAATGGCATAAGAGGACAAGGAATGATCGTACGAGAAACGAGTGGTCTTCATAATGCTCGTACTTGCACCGAATGCTGTCGCTCTTCTTGAGGCAGTCTTCGACAGCGAGCGGGTGGAGCTGGTACTTGATCGCGAGCCGGCGCAGGTGCAGGTCGTTGAGATCGCTGATGCCGGCCATGTGCACCCAGCGCACCTTGGCCCACGTGGGTTTCGACGAGAACATGAAGCTCTCGAGCTTCCGGACAGGGTCCACTGTGTGGATGGTCAATGCCGAGTAGTCGACGACGCGAAAGACGCTTTGAAGTGCGCGCGCCTGGAGCACGTACTCGGGCTTGAAGAGGTGCGCGAGCTTGACCATCTGCACGACGCGGACAAACTCGGGAAACGAAATGTGCAAATCTGCATTCGAGTCGACCTTGCGCACGAACGCATCAAAGTCGGCGCCGTCGGGGCACACAATGCCGAGCGCGAGGAGCCCGTGGTGAAAGGCGTCGTACGTCACGAGGTCGTTGTCTACCGATGACATGACAATCTGGTCGTTGAAACATGGAGCGTACTGTCGTGCGTAAAGTAGGCAAAGAGGCGGCACATGCGGCCGGTCGTCACGTCATAGTACGGATCCAAAAGCACGTTCAAGCCTTCGTTGTCCTCGGCGCCCGCGCTGTCGCTAAAGTTGGACGTCTTGCGCATCGAGGTCCGGCGATTGGTGGCCACGGATACCGTGTTGGCGTGGTCCCAGTCCATGACGCGCACGTCGGCAATGCCCAGCTTGGTCGGCGACGCATCTTCGATCCACTTCTCCTCTGCCGGGTGGTCGATGCGCACGGCGACCGAGTACAGCGGCTTCGTCGGCTCGAGCGGGTCGTAGTGCAGGAGCGGCAGCGTCTCGTTCGCCGCGTCCTCGTCCGCCGGTGCGCGCCCCTTGCGGACTCGTGGCGGCGACTGACTCATGAGAGGTTTCGCCCAATGGCCTTGCACATATCACTCCGCGGAATGGGCCAATCAGCGGCCGCGATCGTGGGGTGGCGAACAAAGGATCGCATTTTGGCCAATCACAGGCCGACTGTTGTACCGTAGCTGCAATCTTCAACCGCGTCATCCGAGTTCAAAGCTTTAGTTGGCGCTGCTGGTGACCTTGCCGCCGCGCTGGCAAGTCTTGCGAGGCGCACGCGCGCAACAGTGTGAGCATCTCGCTCTCATACAGCTTCCATGGACTACTACGAATCCATCTAAAAGGGTTATGGCCCTCACTCGCGGCCCAGGCGAATGCAAAAGACCAAGACGAGCCCCCGCGCCGCCGCCTGCGCAGCCACAGCCAGTGAATGAAGAAGGAGGTTGATAGTCTCTAAAATGGGAAGTCTTTATAATGAAGATAACACGATCATGTATACTCGTAGAAGAGTGGAGCACCCACCGCTGCGCCTAGCGGTGTCACTGCAGCAAGTAAGTACCAGCTATCGCTACAGTCCACAGCACAAGCAATACGCTGACTCTCAAACGATCCATTCAAACAACTTATGGCGACATACTGTCTACGGTCGCGTGCAGCTGCTGGCACAGGGGCACGCTGCAGTTAGTACGAGTACTCTCGCGCGTCGTACAGTGGGTCGCATGAAACACGAAGAGCTCGATCACGCCATCGACAAAGGGCATGGCGAGTACTTCGGCGCTGAAGGAGAACCAACTCGTGCACTGGAGCAGACGCTTCATGGCCAAGCACAGGTCGCAGTACGTCGCGCACGGCGCGTCGTCGCACGCGCACGCATGGACGAGCAGCTCGTTCATCTCGCACATGCCTCGGGGCAGCTACAAGGAGACGTTAGGTATTGGTTCTTGACAATGACGCACCTCCTCGGGCGTGGGTGTCACGGCGCTCTCTGTATCCGCGTCATCAATCTCTTCAACTTCATTGTCTTCTTCTGCGTCGTCATCATCTTGAGCCGAGTCATCGTCGTGCGCAAAAGAGTGGACAGAGATGGCCGTTGGCGCGCACACAGGGCAGAACCAGTCGGTGCGTGGCACGATAGCAAGGCCAATCGGTGCGTGGCACGATAGCAAGGCCAATGCAAAACGTGGGGTACACTATGCTGTAAGCTGAGACCCTGTCGCTCGAGGAAGTAGCGAATGGGCGAACCTCGGTCGCACCCGTCGCAGAGCAAGCTGGCATCAGCGTCGTCGCTCCCGTCGCAGATCTCACAGCATGCGCTCTATGCGATAATGCAAGCATTTGCCAGAAGCCATGCATGGGTAGAGTGTTGTCTACCTCGTCGCTCGAAGCACCATTCAAGTCGCCATCATTGCCGTCGTCGACACTCATGTCGGTGGCAGCGTAGAACTACATGGAACATCGCGATACTATGAGGTTCGTCTACATAGAGGCATGTACCAAGCGTACCTGGCGAATGATGGCAGCAATGTCTCTCGTCATTTGGCCCCGGGCGGGTGACCGCGGCAAAGCCAGCTCCGTACAGAGTCGCCGGGTCGACTCGAACGTGAGGCCGCGGAACGAGCTGCGCATGAGGGCGTGGAGCTCCTGCCATCGCTCGGGCGGGATCGCTGCCCGGCGCCGGGCGCGAACCTCGCTGTTCAATGCAACCATGGCCCGCCGGACGCAAAATGATGGTTTGACATTGTGGCTGACAGGGCTTTCGCTCAAAGTGGCCAATCACATCGCATTAGTCATAAAACGTCAGCCAATCACAGCGCGTCGTTACCGATCCAAGAACGGTCTCAGCAATTTGCCATTCTAGTGGCCGAGCTCATTTCTCTTGAGATACGACCAAGGGCTAAAACTACACCAAGTCCGTCGTTGCACGAGAGTCTTCTCCTCTGGTATCGCTATGCCGCCCCCCCTGAAGCCAGCTGTTTACTTGCGGAATTAGGTTGATTCGTGGTTTAAGTCCAACATGTTCGCAACAAAGATAGTCATAGTGATGACGAAGGTCCATGTCTGAATCAGTGGTCATGAGACATCAGACTACAGGACGCCAAGGATAACAGGTGCATTCAAAACCGTCTCTTGTATTATCTGGACAACCACAACCAAGCACTAGCTACCTAGTTGCAGGACGAGTGGCGGCGACGCTGCGTCTTCATGGCGGGTTGAACGCTGGTTGTGAGCACGGTCGTTGTGAGCAGCTTCAACTGGGTCTGCATTTGGTGAAGTCCATCGATCGTGGTCTGCAGAAGCGATGCAAGTTGCTCGGACGAACACGACAATGCGGCGGCGGGCGTCGTGCGCTGCGCCTTCGTCGTCGTGATCAACAAACGACGTGTCGCCAGGATCTGCTTGCTGCCGTGCTTGCTGGGGCTCATGCGCATCGCCTTGATCGGGCGCGCGAGACGACGCGTGGGTGTCGACGGCGTAGAACGCTTGATTGCAGTCCGAGCCATGGGCACGAGTGGCGCCGGTACTTGCGCGAGCAGCAACACATACGCGGCCACTTTGGCCAGAAAGGTGCAGCGAAGAGTGGGGTCCATGTCGAGGACTCTAAGCACGCGCTTCCACTGCGTCAAGTCCACAAGCTTGACGATAGGCGGGAGATCAGACTGCGCCACTGTTGCAGCACGACGGCACAAGTAGTGCCATCGCAGCGGGTGGCGTGCGCGATCGGCGTGCACGACTTGGGCAGAGATAACAATCGCCGACCGCCCAGGCTTGCCATACGCACGGACCATGTCGACGCGGCTGAGGCCAGTCTTGCGCGACTCGGGCGACCGCGCGATGCAGAGAAAGGGCCGCGGCGTCGCGCCGGACCGTCGTCGCTTGTGGAAGATACGGTACTCGTCGTCGCAGCCGCCCCACATCGTCTCGCGCAACGTGGCCATATGGGCGACTGCAAAGTAAACGCCCTCTAAGATGTGGCCAGCAGACGCGGCCGTGAGCGCCGTTGTCGCCTTCGCGTCGCCGCCCGCAGACGCGACGAGGACGTCCTGGAGCTTCTCAAGCTGCAAGTCTTCGAGGACTGCGCCCGTTGAGTGCGCCTTGGCAACGAAGTGGTCGACCCACTTGGGGTGGGCGAGGGCGTCATGCAGCAGCAGCATGGCGAAGGCGAGGTCGCGGGCGGGCGGCGCGGAGGATGTGGGTTTGGAAGCGTGGCTTGAACACTGAGCGACTCAAGATACCCGATAGCTGGTATTTGTATGGTATATAAACGCTAGGCTATTTTAATTAAATTACATGACAGCGATGTCTGGCATCTTTTTAAATAGTAATATCGTGTGAAAGTATACAAAGACAAAGGTAATTTAGATCCTGGAGTTGTATTTTTCAACTTTTTGGACCAATCCGAGAGACGTGTTGTTTGAATTCGCGCCAATCAGAACGAGGCAAGCGTTTTAGGATCTCGCCACCACGATCGCATTGAGGTTGGATGTCCACAGTACGCCCTTCCAGTGCAATAGCCCAGTCCGCTTGCAGCTGATGTATATTACCGAGCCGCAGTAGAATCTCATTGCCAGGTGTCAGAGTTTCCCATACCTGGCCCTTCGCGCCGCTTTTTCACTCTCAAATTAGTGGTTTAACAGTAAGTGCATCAGTTCTACATTGATGCGGAGAGCCGAGTCGCTGAAATGGCCACAAGAATGCGTCGACTCGCAGCTTTAGCACACATGCCCTCTCCCCTCTTCAAGTTTACCCGTAGGTTTTATACGTTAATCATTTTACCTCGTCTTTAACCCAGGCAAATGGATTTTACGCAACGTACAAACCACTTTGCCCTGTTGTCGCAACCCAGCGACAACGATGGAAACCACCGGCGGCGCCATCAACGTTCCAGTCTGGATCGCGCCCGAGACCGCGCCGGGCTCTTGCTTGGTGCTGCTGGCAGCCGATGCCACAAGCTCTTGCATGGTAGCAGATGCTACGCCCGGGCGCTGCCTCGCCCAAGAGTGGATCTTTGACGGCCACGGCATCACGTCGCTGGCCGAACCGACTCTGCACCTCGGCGCCGACGTCCATGGCCACTGCTGCATGTATCTGCCATCCGCGCCTCTCTTCAAGTGGGTCTTTTGCAGTGGGTATCTACTTGCTCGTCACGCACTGGGCTCTTGCCTCACGCTGCTCAGCGATGGGAGCCTGGCGCTTCGCCCGCTCGCCATTGGTGATGCCACACAGCAATGGCGGCTCGATCCCATTGCAATCGTCGAGGCACCTCTGCCACGTGTCACGCGTCTCGTAGATGACGCGGCCAATGATGCACTACCTACCGTCGACTTGGCGTCGCTCTCGGTGCACGACGTTGCCCATCTGCTCACATCCGGCGGCTTTCCATCGAGCCTCTCTGCGCAGTGTCGGACGCTTGAGATCAACGGCGACGCCTTGCAACATTGCTCGTCCGTCAACGACCTCATGCAACTGGGCGTGCAAGATGCCGCCTTGGCCGAGTATCTTTGGCAAAACATCCACTATTTTGGTCGCCACGGGGTGCCGCAGCGGCTCGTCACGCCCATAGTTTACATCATCCAGTCGGTCAAGGACCCTCGCATGTGCTTGCATTTGATCAGCGGCGACGCCAAAGGTGCGCCGAACGGCGACCGCTGCCACCTCTGGACCACCGTCATAAATCGACGCCATCCCGCGCAAGAATGGCTCCTCGAAGGTCCTTTGATCAAGTCGGTCAAAGACACGACCAAGTGCATCCATTTAGCGAGTGGCGCGTCCCCGGGTACGTTCAACGGTGACTTGTGCCACCTCTGGCGCGTCGTTCCCGGTGCCCACCCTGCTCAAGAGTGGTCGTTTGACGGGCAACGCATCTTGTCGGCCAAGGATTTGACCAAGTGCATTCATGTGGCGAGCGGCATGGCCCACCCGTCGTTCAACGGTGACGTGTGCCATCTCTGGGACGTCCAGCCCGGCGAGTACCCCGCACAAGAGTGGACGTTCGTGCCCGTGGCCGAGGCGTAAACCCTAAATCGAATTGTTACGCCACCAAGTTGGGCCAGTCTGTAGCGTGTAGTACTCGCACAACAGGACAGAGATGAGCCAAAGAACAGTGTTGATGCATGCAAAGGAACATTGTCGTATCGAGTATCGCTCTACTTGATTACAATAATGTCCATAACAAGCCGAGATTCGACCGACTCCTCTTCCAGTCCGAGGCAGGAACGCGATCACTTCATAACTTAAGGCGTCAAGGCGATACTAGTACTTAGGACGATACACCTGGACATGCTGCAAACGAAACTACGCCAGGTTGGACGTTGATGGCGACAGGGTTCGTCGGGGTTGTCCTTGCTTGGACGTTGGGACCTTGTCGACATCGATGACGGTCCTTGCGCCGGCTCCGCCGCGGGGTTTGTCATGCTGAATCATGGGAATAAAAAGTTATATCTTGTGCTACATACACTGTCAGAACTAGCAAACGCCGTGCGACCTTGGGCCATCTTCTGCGTGTAAGGTGTCGGTAGTTGCGTGCGACTTTGTCAACCGATTACGTTGGGAACCGACAGCAACGCGTCGGTTTCCGCAGCAGACACCGTTTCGCGACCATGGGCGCGGCTGCCAGCGTCGACTCGGGCGACTCGTACACCAAGGAGCAATGCCAGGCCATGTGCGGCGACCTTTTCGACGATGCGATGTGGACCATGCACGCGTCCAAGGCGTCGCAGACGATCTCTGGCGCCAAGCTGCACGAAGTGGTCTCGTCGGTCACGGACGTCTTCCTCACGCACGACTGGGGCGTCGACGGCGCCAACCACCGCCACGTGAGCGTCGTCAACCAGCTCCTCATCGAGCGCGGTATCACGACGTGGTTTGACGAAGAAAAGATGGAGGTCGGTGCCGATACGAAGAAGGTGTCCATATGAGAGGTGGTGGTAGGGCAACATCAAGATGAAGATGATCACGGGCATTGAAAACTCACGTTGCATTGTCGTCTTTGTGACACAGCGCTACATGGACAAGGTGGGCGGCCCGAATGGCGAAGACAACTGCCAGCTCGAATTCAACTATGCGGCGCGACGCAAGACAAACGCCAAGATGATCTCGGTGGTCATGGACCCAAACGCCAAGGACACGCGGGCGTGGGTTGGCCCCGTGGGCATGACCCTCGGTGGCGACCTGTACATTGATTTCTCGACCGTCTTTGACGCGCATCCAGAGTTCCTGCCCGCAAAAATCGACGAGCTCATGGCCAAGCTCATGACGATCATTGGCAAGCCACTCAAGCAGTGCTTTGCGGGTGGCGGCGTCGCGATTCCGCATGCGACCGTGCCGCTCGAGTCGCTCTCGACCGACCAAGTCACGACGCTGCTCACGGCCCTCGAGTACGCCACGTACTGCGACGTGTTTCGGCAAAATGAAATCAACGGCGCCGCGCTCATGGGCATCACGTGCGCCGACGAGATCAAGGAGATTGGCGTCACGCTGGCAATCAAAGCCCGCGCGCTCTACGACAAGATCCACTCGTTTCAAGCAACTGGTGTGCCCAAGCAACTCCTCCGCGAAAAATCTGCGCCCAAGCCAGCGCACACACCGCCCGCGACGACGCATGCAACCCCGACACCCTCGCACGCCGCTTCGAGTGTCCCTGCGGGCCCTTGTCGCATCGTGTCGGTCAAAAGCCCGGACCGGTGCCTTCAGCTTCAGAGCGGCGATGGCGAAGTCTTTAACGGCGATCGGTGCCAGCTCTGGGAGATCGCTCCCGGTGTGCGCGGCCAGGAATGGATTTACGACAACAAGCTCATTCGCCTCGCAAGCAACCCCGCCAAGTGCATTCACCTCCAGAGCGGGACGGGGCCGTCCAGTGATGGCGATGTGTGTCACCTCTGGGACGTTCAGCCGGGCAAGTACCCCGCGCAAGAGTGGCTCATTGAGGGCCATTTGATCAAGTCGGCCAAAGATCCGTCGCGCTGCATCCATCTCCAGTGCGGGAATTACCCTGCGTTTAGCGGTGACACATGTCACCTCTGGCAGATTCAATACCCATCCTACTCGGCCCAAGAGTGGACGTTTGTGTCGCTCACGGCGACGCGGCGCGTCCGACTGCAGTCGGCCAAGTGCCCCAACATGTGCATGCAAGTCTTCTCGGGCGAGAACGGCGACCGGTGCTTTCTCCGCACGACACACAGCGGCCCGTACCCGGCGCAAGAATGGATCTACGACGGTCGATACATCTTTTCCGTGCTGTCGCCGAGTCGATGCATTCACTTGCAGAGCGGTGACGGCCCGACCTCCAATGGCGACGTGTGCCATCTCTGGGATTTCCAGGACCGCCCGTCGTACCCGGCGCAAGAATGGATCCTCGATGGCAAGTTGCTCAAGTCAGCCAAGGACAAGTACCGCTGCATTCACTTGCAGAGTGGCACGGCGCACACGCCCGAAGGCGACTTATGCCACTTGTGGGAAGTCCAAAACTGCCAGTACCCCGGCCAAGAGTGGTTGCTCGTGCCTGTCGAGTAGCATACATCCTTCGTCCATCATCATCATCATCATCATGATGTACACAACATCACACGCCTCTATCTTGTTGTTTTGTGTTTACCATGGGTTGAGACGGGTTTGACTCGCTCGTCGTCTTCAACTAGATGGTCCCATGCGCCACAGTCAACTGCCAACCACCGCCGAACCCTTCGCTTCATTGATTATGGATAGTTAGAAGAAGGAGTCCAGTGAGCGGAACGGGTCCTTTTTCGCTTGTTCCATCATTGGGCTTTGCATTTCGTCAGCACACAATGTTCGATTCGACCTGTATTCCATGCGGTGGAGATGGTACGTCTCCTTCTCATGCGTTGGCAAGGCACCTCCATGATACCAGTGAGCGAATCGACGCGGCAACGCTCTGTCGGTTGACCTCGAAACTCCCTGTCCGAATAGTCCTTTTGTCGTTTACCGGCGCATCTTCCATGGAGTGCAACGCCATTAAACCTAAATTTGCAACCGAATGGACAAGCTTGGTGACGTCGTACTGGTAGCACCGCGTCCGGTGCCATTTCTTTTGCAGTCGGCAGCGAGTCCGTCGCGCTGCATCCACCTGCAGAGCGGCACTGGCCGGAGCGAGAACGGCGATGCCTGCCACCTCTGGACTACCATTCCAGGGACATATGCAGCCCAAGAGTGGTTCATGGACGGCAAGCTCCTGCGATCGATGAAGGACCCGACCAAGTGCATTCATCTCCAGAGCGGGTCGGGGCCGACGTACAATGGCGATGCCTGTCACCTCTGGGACATCCAACCCGGGTCGTACCCGGCACAAGAATGGCTCCTTGACGGCAAGCTCATTCGGTCGGTCAAAGACTCCTCCAAATGCATCCACCTCAAGGACGGCAGCGGCTTTGACGGTGACAAGTGCCATCTCTGGGACGTCCAAGACGGGGCGTACCCGATGCAGGAGTGGAACGTCGTGTATCTGCCGACGCTGCTGGCCGCCACCGACGTTGTGCCGCTCCGATCCCTCAACTGCGCCCAAGTCTACCAGCTCCTCTCGGCGCTCGAGTTTACAAAGCACAAGGACCTCTTTCTCGCCCACGAGATCAACGGCCACGCGCTTTCGTGCTGCGAGACTGCCGACGAGCTGCTCGAGCTCGGCGCGATGCCAAAATTAAAGGCCAAGTCGCTCTTCGAAACGCTACAGCAGCTGCGCGTCAGCGGTGTGTCGCTTGCTTTCTTTGGCTGCGAGCCGCTGCCCAAGCGCCGGTTCCGTATTCAGTCGGTCAAGTGCCCGACGAAATGCGTGCATTTGCAGAGCGGCGAGGCCGACACCGCATTCAACGGCGACGTCTGCCATCTCTGGGACACGATTCCGAGGTCGTACGACGCACAGACGTGGATCTTTGATGGCGCGCTCATCAAGTCGGCCAAGGACCCGAATAAGTGCATCCATCTGAAGAGCGGCACCGCCGCGTCTGGCAACGGCGATGCCTGTCACCTCTGGGACATCCAGCCCGGCTCGTACCCGGCGCAGGAATGGCGCTTTGACGGCAAGCTCCTTCGCTCGGTCAAGTGCCCGACCAAGTGCATCCACCTCAAGAGCGGTCGCAGCGAGCCGTCGAATGGAGTCGTGTGCCACTTGTGGGATGTCGTCGACGGACCGTACCCGGCGCAGGAGTGGACCCTCGTGCCTTGCTAGTCGAGCATCGCGTTGCCAACTACCTATTCGAGTACTCCTGTAGGCTGGAGGATGCGTCCGTAAGCCTACGTACTTGGCTCAAATGTATTCTCTTTTTCTCCACTACCTACCATCTATGCACCTCACGAGTCGAATCTTCGAGACGGTAGCCGGCGACAGACAATGGATTTGGATGCTTTGCCGACGAGATCGAGATGTGCATTGTTCCGACGACCAACTCCCCAGTCCGCCATCACGGGTTCCCATTCTGGGTCAACGACCACTCTGCTGTGCCGATGACGCAGCAACTGTCGAGCACGCTGCCTACGCTTCCTTGCGCTGCAAATGAAGCTTCCGGCGGGTGCCCGTTAGATGCGACGTGCGCAGCACCTATCTTTTTCATCTTGTTCGTTTTGAAATATCGGCTATTGTTGAAATGAGTTATTAACATGCAAATATATATAGTGAAGATGGTGGACTTCCTAGAGCGCTCGTGAGGTTTGGCCGGTACGTCAAGCTGAGGGCGCTTGGTCGGGGCTCGGGATTGAGTTGGGAATGAGGTAGCGAGCACACCAAGGGTCGGCGCGTAGGGCATGGAGCGACTCGGCAAGCCATATCGGCTACCGTGTCTAGAACGATGAGTCGACTACTCTCGGCCGAGTGATCCGTGTCCGCGCGCGTGACCGCTCTTCCAAAGGATGTGGCGCCAAGTCCCGATGGCCGTGCACGATCAAAGCTCTACACACCGTGTCCCAGGCCGCTTGAAGTTGGTCAAGATCCCAATGATCACTGCCATACATCTGTGCGGGTTGGATACATCATGTACCAGTGCGTGTCGCATCGCTTCTCAAGCTAACTTAGATCGCAAGATATTCCTTCGATCGAATGTTCATTGTTCGTGCGACACGCGACCCAACTGGGCACGAGTCCCGATCGCTCTGACACTACTCTCTTGGAGTCACTATATGCAGTCGCTCGAGGCCCAGCTGGCGACCTTCGCAGATATACCATATCCAACCTGACCTTGTATGTACCTGGATCCCTTTCAAATGACATATTCCTCTCTTTACGTATAAACGACTCTCGGTATTATTATGGTCAACATACTCTTTATATGTAAAAACTATATAAACTGAACGAAACCCGTTAATACAACCTGTCACAATGCATAACTCTCGTAAAAACTATATTTTCCACAATGCACATCGCCGAGTCGACGAGGATCCTCAGTTTACATTTTGCCACGTTCGATGCATCTCTTACCTGGCGACCTCATTCGGCTCGTCGAGACGCCCAAGGAGAAGGCCAAGGACGCGGTCGAAGCGCTCGGCGGCGCCGATGGCATCGCGTATGCGCTCAACGTGTCGCTCGATGCTGGCCTCTTTGGCGCCGACGTCGCCGACCTCCAGCAGCGCCAAGAGACGTATGGCAAAAACTACATTGAACCGTCCAAGCCCGCGACGCTCCTCGCGCTCATGTGGCATGCGTTCCAGGACCTCACGATCATCGTGCTCACGGGCGCCGGCGTCCTCTCGCTCATCCTCGGCTTCACGGTCGGCCACAAAGAAAAGGTTTTGCGCAACGCAACGACGACGCGGGCGCTCGCGGGCAACGCAGGCACGGCGTGGATCGAAGGCTTCTCGATCTTACTGGCCGTGACGATCGTCGTCATGGTCACAGCCCTCAACAACTACCAAAAGGACAAGCAGTTCCGCGCTCTGAACGCGGTCAAGGACGACGAGAAGATCAAGGTCATCCGCGACAGCGAGCCGTGTGAAGTCAGCAAGTTTGACTTGGTCGTTGGTGATATCGTCCGCCTCGACGTCGGCGACATCCTTCCGGCCGACGGCCTCGTGCTCACCTCGTCGGACCTCAAGCTCGATGAAAGCGCAATGACGGGCGAGTCGTTCTTGATGCTCAAGGACAAGACCAAGGCGCCATTCCTCTTCTCGGGTACCAAAGTCATGGAAGGCATGGGCACGATGCTCGTGCTCTGCGTCGGCGCATCGTCCCAGGCCGGCATGATCTCGTCGCTCGTCATGGGCAAGGCCACGCCAATCAAGGAAGCGCCTGAGATTGTCGTCGAGAGTAGTGGCAACGCGTACATGCAGCTCTCGACGCCGCGCAGCAGCCTGCAAGAGGCCAAGTTGGCGGCCAATGCTCCGGCGGGGTCGTCCAAGGCCGACAGCGTCTCGCC